TCAAATTGTTCTGCATGCTTCTTTAGACGATCACCCTCATGGGTTAGCTCAATTCCCCAGCATAATTCTCCATTAACATAGAAATCCAGAAAACCAACTGAGCCAAACACAGGACCAATATCTGCGCTTATCGATGTATTCTCTGGAACTGCAGTTGTAGCAGTACAATACCATTCCATTTGCCAACTTCTCTCATATAACCGTGAATTAGGACCAGATTTGGCACCCTTTCCAAACGATTCAGACAATATAGATGGGCTCATGCGCTCGATAGTTCTCAACAAAAACTTGTCAAAAGTTTTTGCCGGTACTGATTTAAACTTCACGGGGAAGTAAACAAGTAATAGCTCAAAACAACTCGTATAATAGGAGCAGAAATTTTTATTTGTTCATTAGAATCAATAGAATGTGCAACCATGTTATTATGTGCCACCGTGGAAAAGAGACCTATTTTAACGAATTTCTTGGCAACAGGATTTAAATAGTTTGCAGGAAAGAAAATGCTAGTTTGACAGGCAAATAATTTCTTGCGAATAAATTCAGATTCTTCAATGGTTAGATTCCAGTCATTGAACCAGTAAAAAGCACATGCAGTTGTTATTATACTATTTCATAGATTTGTCGAAGCAAGAAATTATAACATTTTCACTGTTGTTTCTTTTTCATATTCACGAAAGTAACTGCGTAACATTCTCAAAATGAATCGACACAACCCAAGATGTCTACCAGTGAGATTAAAGACTGCCTTCTGAACCTCCTTAGGAATTTTGAAGAGTAGGCTACCCTGAGTAATATGCAACTGAATATAGTTCTTTACAAGATGCTGGAACTCTTCTCATTTTAGAAGTAGGACATTTAAACCAAGAGCATGATGAAATTCCACTGGTATCATTTGAGGATCAAGTGTTGGATAGTATGTACCGAGCAAAAGCATCTGAAGATTTTGAGAATTTGATTTGTGTTTGTATTCTTCGCTTGACAAAAGTTCTTTCACTCTACTCCAAAAGAATAGAGCGCCATTGCTATAGATGACTTTATCTCATCGATAAATACATAAGTAGCCTCTTTGCGTTTACTGATTTCTGTCCAGGTTCTGCCAACTTTTTCCTTTCAGAAATTTTCAAAGAGCTCTTCATCGTAGATTGCTTGTTTACTATTTATACCAGCAAGACTAATGTAGATGCTATCATAATTGAGACTATCGAAATAGTCTCGAAGCACCTGTCCAAGAGTACTCTTGCCTGATGATGGAGGACTGCGCAAAAGGCCAATATGGTTATTTTTTACGAAGTTAGAGATCGTCTTCAGCCTTTCACCTGATATAATCATAAGGCTGTCACGACCCTCTTTTGATTCTGTAGGATATTCATCTTCACTATCAAAAATGAAAAGTGAATATTAAAAAACAAAATAAGATTACTAGTTTCGACGATACTGCAGAAACTGGAATCTCAGAAACCGGAGACCGAAGAACCGGATGCAATAACCCCGGGGCAAGAGGGGTTCACCAACCTGGCCGCCAGAGTCGTACCGGAGGAAAAGGTCCTATGCTATGGAATTAGGAACCAAAGGAAGGGAA